CTTTCGGCTTCACGGGATTCGTTTCCACGGTGCGCAAAAGTGCCTCAAAAAAAAAAAGTGCAAAAGTGGAAGGCATGCGGAAGAGGGGGCGAGTATATAACAAACTATATTTTGAGTGGAAATGTTGGGGGGTCGTCTTATACGCCGGGTCGTCTTATACGCCGGCATATACGGTACTTCATCTAGCCTAGTTGCAAAAGAGTCCTTACGGTGTATTCTCTGGAGGAAATAGCTCTGAAACTGAACAAAAAGGTTTTATATAAAAGGTTTCTGGAATTTATTGGAGAAAAGCTTAATTTCTAGATATGTTGTTCTTACTTTCAGTTTCTCGCAACAGTTATGGACACCATTATTTTTAGTTCAGTCACATTTAAATGTAGTGGTGGTTACACATTAATGTAACAAAAGCAGACTTAAAAAAACAAATGAAGATATCAATTCACCTCAGTTTTTGATACTCAGTTCTCATTCCCATCATCAAAAGGCTGAAAGAATACATTTCTCTTACTAGAAATCTTGACTGATCACTGATGGAGGAGTTTTGACATTAGTTGGAGCCCACATATGGCCCAAGGGTCAGAGATTACTCATATCTATTATAATATAGCACCAAAGCAAACCGGTATGGGTGTCTAGCAAGAGAACTTAGATTTAATTTGCATATAAGCATATAAGATGAATAAACTGATCAGATGTTGTATAGTCAAATTTCAAGTTATACAGTAGGTATGTTGACTTTTATTCCACTGAATGCATAGAATGGACAATTAAAATAAACCAGGGGTGTCAAACTCACGGCCCGCGGGGGCAGATGCATCTTGTGCTGGCCATGCCCACCCTTATTTTAGTGAAGGGAAAAGTCATGATACATCACGTATCATGTGACGCCACAAGTTTGACACCCATGCAATAAACTGTTATATACTTTAAAAAGTTTGTTACTCTCGGGGGGGGGGGGGGGGGGGGGCGCTAAAAATTACCATCCATTGATTACCAAACAATCAATTTTAAGTATCTAGTCATATAACCTCGGTACATTTTAAACTTTACTATACATTTAGTCAGTCATCAGTATGGAGGGCAATGGTCCTGGTCCTACTTCTTACAAGCCAAAAATAAAGTATTCATGCTGCAATATAAAAATAATATCAAGAATAGTGAGGTGCGAAAAAAGTTGTACCAAGCCAGCGGTGCCCATTGTCCAACCTTTCTGGCTTGGTGGCCCAGTGGGGGGACAGAAGATAGTTCCCTGCCTGCACAGCTCCATTTGTGTGAGCGGCCACTGCTGGTATGAGGGAAGATTTGCATGCACGCAGGCGCTGACCTCCATTTGCGTGGTCCTGTTCCAAACAGGCCTGTACTAAGCAATGTAATAATCAAAGTTAAGTTTATCTTATTGTTTTCATACCTCATCTAGAGCCTGAATACTCATTTCATGGGACAAGTGAAGCAAACAAAGGACAGCACTCTTGGTAACACCTTTTCCCATGAAAGACATGGCATTGCCTCCCCACTCAACATAAAAAGATGAGATGACCTGAAAGGAGAAGCAAAAACAAAAAAAAATGCTGTTCAAAGGCATCACAACTTTGTCGCAGATATCAGCTTATCAACCCTTAAAGTTAAACTCTGGAACAATTTTGAAGGCTGCTTGGGGAACTGAAAGTTCGTTTACATGCAGATTCTGTTCTGAATTCCAAAATAGCTTCAACTATCTCAATGCATACATTCAGCAATTATTAATTCTTGTCCTTACTGGACGCTGGCCAGATGTAAGATGCAAAAAATGTGTTAATTGTGTCACTTTGGGGATATACAAAGAGTGGGAGAGTTTAAAAGCCTGTAGAATTTTAATCAAGGCCTGAAGAGCTGACAGCTATTGTGCAATATATCTGGGTATATAAATGTGAGAGATAATATTTCATTTGAAAGAATTATGCCTGCATAATGTACATCTAAAGATCTGGATTGCCATAATTTTATTCTGCTTATTTAAACTATCATTTAGTTCATTTTCTAAACTCTGCAAAAACTCAAATTAGATGTGATATAGGATGTCTTTCATAAAATTTCTGTTATTTTTAAGGGATAGATAACAGGTGTAGCAGGAAATGGATCTGATCAGATGAATTATGGTTGAGGAAAGCTAATTCACTCTCCCCCTTACTCATTTTGTTGCAATTAAGTATACTAACCGAAAAGAGGCTACAAAATCCCTTGTCACATTGTAAGGCTCCATTCTTTCCTGATCTCTCATTTAGACTGCAGTCCAGCAGGAATATTTTTTTCTTATTAATTACACAAAAGTTTCTCTAAGACTTTTTTCAGCTGCGAAGTATTTTTTCTAACACAATGATGAACATATGATATTTAAATTACACATAACAACAATTAAAAAATATTCTATTCTACTGGGATCTATGTTAAAATGTTAAAGTCTATTTGTGGTGCTCTCACAAAGGAAATGATTTGAGGATTAGGCTTTTGTTTTTTGAAATTAACCAAGTAATATGGAAGCTATTTGAAAATAAAATACAATATATGTATTTTCTATCTAATTCGTGTTCAGAAGGGTAACTATTATATGACAAGTGTGTTTTATAAAATTAGCAATAGACACACATTTGTAGCCCACAGTAATGAAAGGTGTAAACATACAACAGTTATTAATAAAACTATTCATTGACCAGAACCTGGTAAAATACTACACCAAATGTTTTCAAAAGATGAGTTCCCTAGAAGAACTTCCAATTGTACAGGACACAGTGAAACCTGTCCCCCTTCTCTCTGATGAAATCTTGGCTGGAGTATCAAGCATTCTGTTTAAAGCAAGGTCAATCCTCTCTTTTTATTTCCCAATCACACAAAATTTATTCATTGTTGATTTACCTCAAGAAGCCCAGCTAAATATTTCTTGCAAATCATGAATGGCTCCACTGTGACAGAGTATGAACTCCAGCCTGGCAGTGCTGTGACATGAACCATACTATTTAATGTCCTTTCCAAAAAAGGTAATCCATAGAAATGAGGGGCATCTGTTACTCGCAAATACTGCAGAAGCTTCAAGGCTAGTTCTGTTCGGAAATAGCCAGTAAGTTCCAAATCTTTTCTGTAAAAAAATAGAGAAAAAATAGGGTATTAGAGAGCCAGTTTGGTCTAGTGGTTAAGACACCAGGCTAGTAACCAGGAGATTGGGACTTCTGTCACACTTTAGGTAGGAAGATATCTGGGTGACCTTGGGCCAATCTTTCCCACTCAGACCTAGGAAATAGACCACAGATGTCAAACTCAAGGACTGCGGGCCGTATCCGGCCTGTGGGGTGCTTAGATCTGGCCTGAGGGACCACCCTGGAAACAGTGAAGGACTGGGCCACGGTGCCTCTGCCAGCAAAAACATCGCTTGGAAGGGATGTGTGTGGCCCCCATGAGCTCCATTTTGGCCTGCAACAGCCTCCTGCAGCGCTCTGCCAGTGAAAAATGGAGATTGGGAGGGCCACGTGTGGCCCTCCTGACCTCCAATTTCACTGGCAGAGCGCCGCAGGATATTACAGCCAAAAATGGAGCCTGGGAAGGATGCTCACAACACGAGTTATGTCAAACTGGCCATGCCCACCCTGGTCACGCCCACCTGGTCCCTGAGGTCAAACATAACTCTGATACAGTCCTCAATGAAATTGAGTTTTGACACCCCTGAAGTAGACAAAGGCAAACAACTTCAGAAATCTTGACAAGAAACCAGAAGGAAACTTCTGAAGGACTCCTGGGATTCTAATTCAGCTTTGAGGAGGCCGATTGTGGTCCTGGAACATCAGATCTTCCATTTTAAGAAGCAAATAATTATACTAATGAATTTATTGCTGGCTATCTCGTTTTATGCCATACCTGTCAGTAACAGACATGAACCTGAGTAGAAGTGTATTAAAGAAAGCAATCAATTCTTTCTGCAATTGTTGTCTTACAGCTGTCTTTAGCTCATCAGCTTCATCTTGGGCCGGAGATTCTGGCGGTACCACAAGATCTAATAGAGATTTTGGATTCTGCACAGGAGATCAAGGCATAACATCAGTATAGAACATATGTTTCATTACCTATTCTCCAATAAAGCATAAAACTCAAGTTGAAACTAGCAGTTGACATGCTTTTTTCATATTAGAAATAAGCTATTTAAGAATAAGTTTTCTTAATACAGAATTAATACGCTGCATAATGGAGATTGCCAGTTACTCAATAAACTAATTTCAATGATATAAAAATTGAAGCAAGCAGATGGTAAGAGTTTCCTGGCAGAGATAAGACAAATTTACCCAATGGTTTATTAATTGACACTGACACCTTGGCTACAATCTACCAGATTCAGTGAGTTTTTGAAATGAGTGTTCTTTTGGTGAATATATTTAAATGTACTTCCTGTTACAAAAGTCATTCTATGGCAAGCATGCATTTCTCCTAATCTAAAATTGATTTTTATTCTGAAAAATCATGATTGTTTCTAATGCACATGCTTCTTGTTGTGGAAGCTCTTGTGCATAGATTAGATTAGATTAGAACAGAATAGAATACTTTGTTGGCCAAGTGTGATTGGACACACAAGGATCTTACCTTTATATGACATCTTACCTTTATATGAGATATCTTTTAATAATGGTTGGATAAAAATCTAATAAATGAATGAATGAGTGACTAATGGGACAAAGGCTCTTTTTCTACAAAAGAGTCCCTAGAAGGGACTCCTCCTCCAATTCATTCCAGTAGGCTGGGTCAGGATTTTAGACCATAGTATGGGAAAAATTGTCATCTTCTAAGTTAAATTATCCATACAGAGTACTCCATCCAAAAAGAAAAAGAAATTGACCCCTTCTTATACTTATTATATACACATAGTCTTTTGAGACAAATGTAACAGCACAGATCTGTACGTACAGGAGTACTCTGGTACTTATTATAAATTGCTTACAAGAAATGTGATGACTACCTAAAATGATGAATACTAAACACATTTTTCCCATAAGGAATAATGTAGTGAGTGACAAGGCAGCCAATACCGACATTGAGTACCAAACAAACATTGAGAATTGGGACAAAATGTTTGTGTCAAAATGCATTGAGTACCAAATTCAATTGAGTTTCAAAGCAGTTGAATACCAAGGTACAACGGTATATGAAAATACATAATCTGTTGAAATCAGGTGTTACTCAAGACCCTTACATGCTTCAGGGCCACGTCCAGGATCCATTTTAGGTGCTCAAACTCTGAAATATTCTTCTGTTCTTTCATAAACTTGTTTAAAAAAGATATGACATCAGCCAAAAGTTTTTCATCCTCTGAAGACGCTGGAAGCACTTGAAGAAACCTGTTATGCACAAACCATAATGTTGCACATGTAGCAGTATCCTGTCACTAGCATTACATGATTAATGTAGTTTGCTGAAATATAAAGTTAAACTTAAAGAGATTGAAAACAGCAACGTGCTGATGCTAAATATAAATGTCAGAAATACAAAGCAGATGAATGCAAGAGGTCTTTTTAAAATAATAATAAAAATAATAAACATCAAAAAGTTCAACTATGAAACACCATATTTAAAAAAAAAAACATAGCAGAAGGAATGGTCAAAAAAGAAATGTATTGCCTTTAACTTTTTCCCTATCCTTAATGCATTTAGCCTCCATGAACCATCTGTATATACAAATCATACAGCCAGAAAATTGCCAGAATCAGGCATCTCACTGATCTAGGCATTCCTAACAATATTCTGGCAGGCAGATGAATGCAGTGCTTACAGTAGGAAGGGAAAAAGGGCCAAACATGTTTTGTAGCACTGCTTTATCCTTAACCAGCCTGTGAATGTTAAAACTTCCTTTTTGGTTGCTAAATACTACTGATTTACCGTTTTCAAAGGCATTTCTTGCTGCGAAAAATGCTTGGGAAGATTCTAAAGAAACTGGCTATCTTTGAAAATGTTGAAGCTAAATCTACAATGACAGATGGCTTTGTAGTCAGTTAGGTACCTTGTTCTTACACACCAACCTGCTTAATGCTGTTTGCCAAGCCAAGGATTTGAAAGTGGCTCCACCAGGACTACCGCTGCACATTAATGCCAGTCTATCGTTCAAAATATAAAAAATCATTTTTGTGACAGCAGCCCTAACTTCCCCGTGGGATGCTGCTTGAGTGATGGCATTAAAACAATCCTGCAGACCGAAGGTTGCACACGTTAACTTAAGGATATTAATATCTTCTGAGGAGAGCTTTAAAATGCTGGAAAATCTGCATTAAAAAAAAGAACGTTAAAATGACAATTAAAGGATTTATTTTAAAATAACCAACGAATATAGCATCTCAATTTATATTTTGTTTTTTCTTCTTTAATCACATTGATTTTTTTATTTTGGGGGGGGGTTTGTCAATAGAATTTGTCTTCTTGTTCTGTGGGGCAGTTCATGAAGAAATCTTTCACTAGTCCTTTTTATAACACACCCATTACAGAATACACAAAAACTATCACAAAAATATGCCCAATCAAGATTGAAGCTATGGAAAGTTTAAGGAAAAACTAAGGATATGGGAGAAATGAACTGCCTGTTTTATTGCTTGTTAATGATTTGGAGAACGGATCTCTGGCTGGAAACTTAGGAATCTCTGACTTTAAAACATTCTTGGGTTCTTGTTTTCTCTATCCCTGATTCATTAATCATACTAGCTGGAAATGGCAGGATTTGAAGTCTAAGATTCCCAACCCTATTCCCAAATGGAGTTTCAGTGTTTTATGGTAGGTGCCATTAATTAAAACAAAAGTATAAACATTTCCAAGTGAAGACCCAAAACTAAGTCAGGACTGCTCTTTTTTTAAATACAAATTGGAACAACAAAATGAATAGCTTACTGTTCTGCTGCTGTCTCATAACTGGCAAGCGCAACTAAATTATCTGCTCCATGGAACCAAGACAAGTTCCAAGCCATTTTTAGCATATCTGACACGTGTTTTGAGGCCCAGAATTCACAAGAAAATGGTAACACCACTGAGTTAGGACTGACAGCATGATGTGCAGAGACTTTAATAGGTAGATGATACCTTTAGGAATAAAAATGGACAAATTGAAACAGTGCTGTTTTCAGAGAACAAAATTTCTACTGATCACTATTTGATTATAGTCATGGTAAGACTTCTGAAATATTTCTTTACACACTACTCTTACAAATGAATATATAATAAGTTCCTATTAAGGTTACTGACAGTCTCCACATGAATTTACTTCAACCAGTTCTATAGAATCAGTTGATCATAAACTAGAACCCAATTGAAAAATAACTTTCTTATGCCCCATCTTAAGTTATACCTTGAACAAAGAGCAATAGTCAACAGGAGCATTGTAATATTTTAGCTCTGTGTATTGATAGAGTATACACACTGAACTAAGACATAGTTTGTTTTAATCATGGTTTAACAAAATATAGTGATTGAGGTTCACACATACTTTCAATTAAGGCCAACCTATCATTTATTGCAATAAATTGAAAACTACTAACTACATTTAAGCCACAATTGTAGCTTGTTTGATTTTCATCAGCATGAATGAACTCAAACCTTCTGCTTTGCAGATCATGGCTTATGGTTAATATATGAACTATGTCACTTTGGACTGTTCAAACAACCTCAACCATTGCTTAAAATTCTGTGAGTCGGTGTCCCGTTTTTGACTGATGCTAGATGGGGAAATATAATTACAGAGTAACAAAAAGGAAAAAAAAATATGTGTAAACTGCTTACAAAAATGCATAAAATTCAGGTATTCTCAACAGAGTAGTGTTGTGGGTGGAAGGGAGCAACATAAATTGATCAAAGAAGAGAGCTTTCCCTACTGTTGCCCCCACCCTGTGGAATACTCTATCTCCCCCACCCCACCCTGCCTAGAGGTTAGGTCGGCCTCTACTCTCCTGGCCTTCCAAACAGGAGTCAGAATATGGCTCTCTGGCCTCACATGGGAAGCCTAGAGGAGCATGCAGGCCCGAGGCTAGTTAGTCCTTCAAACATACGTGAAAGGTTTTCTAGATTTTTTTTTTATTTAAAATATTTCCTTCACAGTGCAAAAACCAATATTTCTGCATGGTTAACTCTTAACATGATTAATATCTCTTACCTCCTTACAACGGCAACAGGCAAGGTGAAGTGGGAAATGCTGGAAGGATCACAGGAAACAGTATCAGCCCTACATAAAACAAACCAACAAATTCAAACAAAACCAAAGAAGACCCTAGGTATTAATCAGTACATGCCTCAAATGTCATATACGTTTAGCTAAGCACTGCCATATCTGCACAGGGCAATGCTCAAAGGGTAGTGAAGGAAATCTTCATTTTAGCTTTATGTCTATCATAAAGTACCAAATTCAAGTCCTTAGCTTTCTTCTTATTCAAAAATTGGCTAAATTTGTCAAAAGATTCGATATGACTTCCAGACAAGAATGAAGCCTGATACACAACGAGGATTTGCCAGCTCCAGGACAAAGTATCAAAGACCCTTTTAAAGATATTAATCTTTGACAATCTTGGAAGGCAGCTAATAAATACTAAAATAAGGATACTTTCTAGCCTGGGAAATTCTGGTTTTCATCTCATCAGCTTCAGCCCTTACAATATCAGCAATATAAAGTGGGGAAGCGGGAGGCAGGATCAGAAGGAAAATATAAAATATTAAAATATGGCTGTCTGGTCATGAAAGACCAGATTGATTGCCACTCATTGAAACTGGGTGCCCCCCTGCTGCTTCACTTGCAAAACCCCTTTCCATTCAACAGCCCAAAGCAGACATTTTTGTAAGCGACAAGCTAGAATATGCACATCTGACAAAATCTTTAAGAAAACAAATATCTTTTTTAAAATCCTGTTTTTAAATAGCTTTTAAAATATTTCACATATTATATAAAATGTATAACTGCCTTCTCAAAAACAACTTAGGGTGGCGTAGAATTGAAAGAACAAGATGCTAATAAAATAGCACCTTGAAATAGAACATAAAGTAATTTCTGCCAAAGGCATTTCAAATAATCACACCAGCAGGATTACCTAAAATCAAGTGGCCAATTTTCAGGTTATAAAGAGAATTAAAATTTATTTTAACTATAAGATTGAATATCTGAATCAACGCTTCATTTGATGAGTTATTATTTCAACGTTATCCAAATGTATTTTGCAATAACGGCATTATTAAAATATAGATATTACCCTTAACAACACCTTGGTGGTAAGAGTTTTTAGTACAGCATTTTTATTAATCCATCAGCAATTAACATGGGATGGAAACATCTGTCACATCTTTCTGTTCTGCATTTATTACTTTAGCACATCTTAATTAGTCACCTTGTAGCCGATGGAACTGTTTTGGTAAAAGGTCCTGAAACATTTCCTCTAATGTGAGCAGAAAAGTAGGTCTGATTATATTTCTAGCAATGATAGGCTTTGATTATTCCAAGATGTCAGCAGGTACCATGCTACTCTGATGTTTGCATCTATATAATTTAAAATAGTGCTATAGTGAAAGGCAAGGCGACAATCAGCCACTATTTTATATTCTATCTGATAAATGCAGGCAATTGGGGGGGGGGGGGGAAGGGGGGGGGGGGGGGGGAGGGGGAGAGAGAGAGACAGAGGGAGTTAAAGAGAGAGAGACAGAGAATGCATGTGATATACAGGCATAAATGTTGTCTATAATTTACATATATTGCAGCTGGCACTAAAAGAATAGTTTGCTTGCAGGAGTAATGAAGTAACACAGAACCAATCTCTATAGATTACCCTACCACATCTCTTTCCTTGCTGCTTCATCAAAAAGTAGTAGACAAAGTAATACTGCTGTTTCACTCGTGATAGCACCACAATCTTGGAATATCAAGGCAACTGAAAACAGAACAGAAACATTTACATGTTTTTTTCTAAACAGCATAAAGGCTTTCAAGAGTCTAAATTCCAAATTTCCAAAGAACATCAAAATTAAGTATTTGCTCTTATGATGTAGCAATAAGACATATGGGAAATATTAATTTTGCTCCTAAAATGGCAGTGTAGAAAATCCAAATATATCCAGATTTTTGGAAACAAAATATTTGTAAAAATATCACTCCTGATATTTATCTGCTTAATTTAAAGATACAAAAACAAAAAGCAAATTTTAGTTTGCTTTTATGATGTTACCTCTAAATAACACAAGCAAGACAGAAGACTGGTAGGCCAATAACAGGCGCTTGACTGGATCAGCAGAGAGAAGTTTCCGCAAAAGTGCAAGACATGGCAACATCATACAGTTCATGATCTATCAAAATTAATAAAAGGGTTTGTTAACTAAAATCTATAGTAGTAACCTACTAAGCATTCTGAACTTCTCTGAAATCAACACTCTTGGAAGTTTAAAGTAATGTCTTTCAGTATGTTACCTTATTCCATTATTCACAAATCCATATCATCTACTTCTCATAAAAAGCTCGTATTTTAATATTTAATTCCAAAGACATAAAGGCATTAGAAATAATCTGTGACACATTTTTGGAAGCAAGCCTCTTTGTTTTCTTTTACAACACAGAACATCTAATATAGATGAAAATTTGCAAGAACTTTTAATATTTCATCCCAATTCACTCACAGATAATTAGAATTAAATTAAATGAAGGTTTCTATTAATGTTTTAAATAAAGTCCTTCTAAATTTATTTACAAAATTAGTTTCTGCCAGGAAAATTGTACTGTAATCATGAAACTGAACAAACCATCCTTAGATATACAAGTAATATTGTTCCAAAATCTCTGAAGTGGGATTTGATCGGTTTTGGCATCATTTAAATCATGAAGAAAAAAACTAAACACATTATTTAATAACTGATAGGATTCATTTGGCTACCCCTGCAGTCCTTCAGCAATACTATTGAACACATTATTTAACAACTGATGGGATTCATTTGGCTATTCCTGCAGTCCTTCAGCAATACTATTGAGTTGAGACTCAGCCTGCAGGAACCACCATGTAAATTTATCTACCATCTGAACCATCTGAGTTTCAATAGGATGTAACCACCATTCCTTTCTGGCTTCCCCCTTTCCCTCAACCCACTGCCATGACCCACCTATCTTCGCACGTGGCTACTAATTGTACTAATTACATTGTATTCGTGTAGACAAGAAAAAAATTAGTATCTTCTTAATTCCCATCATTCTTCACTCCTTCCTGGCAGGTAAGCTGCTGGTTTTTTTTTAAATATAACATTTTCTATGAGGAAAGTGGAGATCATATATGTGGTTTTGTAGAAAAAGAAATGAAACGCTAGCATTGTTTTTTAAATTAATCAATTCCTAAATAAGGTAACAATCTGGAATGGTCTTATTTAGCCATTTGTGATGTGGCCATTTATGAGCGCTACTTTTTAAACTTGGGGATCAGCTAAATTATAACAAACTATTTTGCCTCCTAATCAAATAGCAAGAGGAGAGAGGAGAGAAAGAACATGAGTCTGGGGTTCCATATTAGCTCCTTTCCTCCTCTGCTTATTTAAATGGCAAGTTTCTGTATGAAGATTTATTTAGCGTTTTTTAACAAGCTGAGAAGTGATACTAGACTCAAAGAATTAGACACCGAAATTTCCTTTCATTGCAGTCCACATGTTTAATCGCCATCCTGAGATAATACTTCTCATATTCCAAATAGAAAATATTTAATTCCTACCCAAAATTATTTGATTGAACATACAATATTTGGAACCATGGGATGGTTCTTCTGAAAAAAAAAGTTGAAGTAGATTTACCTTGCCATTCTGAGCAACACACTTAGTAAAGTAAGCAAGAATTCTGTCCACTGCACCCATATTTTTGATAATTGGATGCAATTTAGAATCTAGAACGAAAAAAAATAAAACACTAACTTTCCATATACACACTTTAGAACAGGGGTCCCCAAATTTGGCAACTTTAAGACTTGTGCACCTCAACTTCCAGAGTTCCCCAGCCAGCATGGCTGGTTGAGGAATTCTGGGAGTTGAAGTCCACAAGTCTTAAAGTTGCCAAGTTTGGAGACCCCAGCTTTAGAACAACATATAACACTGGATTCAGATGGATTCAGAACTGCTTTATCTTTAAATGGGTACTATATATTAGATAAACTAGGTACAGATAAGTATGTGTCTCCTTCCTGCAATCATTAAACTAGATTTAAATAGTGAATCATGAATCCCAATTTGCTGTCAATTTCAGTTCCTTGTCAGTCTTCCAAATATTCCCATCTTAACTCCTGTCACTCTAGCTTTCTGATTATCACCCACTCCCCTGCTCAGCCAATAATAATGCATTGAATACACTCTTCCGTTACAAGTCCTTGGTCCATTTTGAGGTAGGGAGGAGATAGTGGAAATTACTGGTATAGGATTTCCCCCCTAGCTTTTTAGTATTTTTGCTAACTATGATTACCTTCTGGATATGCTGATATACTTGAAGAGGGATATTTTGAACCAGCTCCTGAAGAATTGAAAGAGGATCTAGAAATGTGCATGAAACCTGCCACAAAATGTAGCAGAGTGAAGCACTTCTATTCATCTTTCTAGCCAGCAGGCTCATCCCTTTCTCATATTACTCCATTTATACATCTCTTTGGGGTTTGGTTTTAAGGAAAGTCAATTAGGAGGTCATGCTATTGGCATATAAGCCGCAAAAACATACACAATACATAAAAAGTGGCTAAGGAAAGGTGATTCACAGTGTATTACAAGAGAAAAATAATCTCCTGAATTACCCATCATGTCATGACTTTCTGTACGTTGGAACAACTCTGTGTCTCAATCGTAAATTGTATTTTGAAGAAGTTTACCTTGCATGATTATGACTAATTGCTCAGCTGCTGACTTCCTCAAAGTCAAATCAACGGTGTCTGATATAAAGATACTGTACAGTTTTTCAACTGTCTCAGCCTAAAAATAAAATAAATATATCCTTTTTATTTATCTGTTCACATATTTTCCTGTAACTTCTCTTATGGGAAAAAAGCCACCTCAAGTCTAACGTCACCAAGAAGGAACAGCAATATGTACATAGCAAGACCTTGGGCTTCAATTTTCTCTCACAACAGATCCGAACAAACAACTGAATATTCCCAAGATCAAGCTAGAATATTATTGCCTCTAAATTTTAAACCCCAAATATCCATTTTGGAGGCTGCTATCACACAAACTGATTCTCTTGGGCCGCTTTATAATCTTTCCAAATTCCTTTTTCAGGGGCTTATAGAGAATTGGGGAATTTATAGGGTTTCCTGTTGTGTGACTGTATCATCTCTGAGATAATTGCTTTATACAGGTAGTCCTCGATTTACAACAACTGAGCCCAAAATTTCTGTTGCTAAGTAACACACTTGTTAAGTGGGTTTTGTCCCATTTTGTGACCTTTTTTTGCTGCAGTTAACTGAACCACTGCAGTTGTTAAGTTACTGGCACAGCTCTTAAGTGAATTTGGCTTCCCCATTGACTTTGCTTGTCAGAAAGTCGCAAAAGGGGAACATATGACCCTGAGACACTGCAACCCTCATAAATATGAGTTAGTTGCCAAGCTTCTGAATTTTGATCATATGACCCCGGGGATGTTAGAATGGTAGCGTGAAAAATATTTATAAGTCCTTTTTTTCAGTAGCATTTATACTTCAACAGTACCATCTGTGTTGCATTTCCTTGCTTAGGAGATCTCTCTGGTAATCAATCTTGTTCAAAGTTTTCTCCGTTCACCTTAAAAACAGATTCTCTTGTGTCATCCAGCTTGAGTTCAATAGGCTTTTCCACAATAAGGATGTTAGAAATACTTGAGAGAACGCTGCCATGCAAAAGGGGACGCTTCAGATGGGGCTCTTCTTCTTCCATCAGGTGAAACATTAACTGTTTGAGTGCCACAGAACGAACACTGGGAGAACAAAACATTTCCTTAGAGCAAACTTGGTGTTCTGACCAAGGCTTCCAGAAACAGTAATTAAGCACATGCTTAGTTAAAACAACTCTTGTTTTATTTCAACGCTGGGAATTATTTTCATTCCCAGCCGGTAATGAATCCCAAACAGTCCCTTCGAGATAAGCACCCACCTTTTTTTTTCCTTTGAATTTCTGCCAACAACCACAGTGCCAAATGAATTATAAAAAACCAACCAAAGTACAAAGTCCACACAGAGCTTCAAGGATTAATCCGAACGGAATGAACAACTTTGCTTCCTACGAAGGTTTCATCGTCTTTGCCTGTCCATTATACCTTATGGCAGGGGCAATTACCTCCAAGCCTGACTCCTGATTCGCCCGTTTTGTCTCAGCTGCTCTTGCCTTCTAGCAGCTCTGTGCACACACCCACTGGGAACAGACTCCCCTTGTTCCTCGGCCTCACTGCTGCCAGACTCCGGAGGCTCCAGAGTCAGCACCCTACTCCCAGATGGTCCTGGCCCCATCTCTGCATCACACGCAGGATCCTCGTCCGAGTCCTCTCCAGACTCCTGGACTGGTCCCCGTTCTTCCCCACTGTCCGATTCTGCTGCTGTCTGCACAGGCTGCCAGCGAACCACAACACTTGGCAAGTTTAAGACTTGTGGATTTCCACTCCCACAATTCCTGAGCTAACATGACTGGAGGACAAATTCTGGGAGTTGAAGTCCACAAGTCTTAAAGCTGTCAAGTTTAAAGACCCCTGCCTTAGAAGGTTCCCAAACTTTTACTGAAGAAATATGCGCACAAAATCTTAATCTCATACCACATGTTTTTTTGGATCACTCTTTTATTCATATTACGGTACTTAATTTCTTTAAGGCCATAACCAAATTGTTCCCGTTAAAAGCCATAATGGCTGAATTAAATCTGATCAAATTTTTGCATGACATCAGACAGCACTGGCTGCCAGTTAATAATTTTAGGCTTTCAAAAAACGTACACAAAATCAAACTGTCCAATATCAACTCAATGTTGATGTAAAAATACAGCAGACAAGATTTCAATGCCAATGTTTTACAAGTTGCTTTCCTTGTCACCTCAATCAGAATCATAATTTCTATACTCCACTTTCCCAACAGTAAAACAATCTTGTCACTACTTTTTCAGCCCAGTCAGTCATAATCAATTTCTACATTCCTCTGCTTTTTTCCAATTAATCTCTTTCAGCCATTTTACAGCCTTCTAAGGATTGGCAGTTTCCAGCACCTCAAGGATGTGCTACTTCATTCTAAAATGATTTATCTAAGTGGAGGGTTGACACTTGGGCTTTCTGCCACTTTTCTATCTTTTTGCAAATTGACTAAATTGACGTGCAGTTGAAAAAGTTGTATCACCTGCAAGCACATATAAAGGAAGTACTATTCCAAACAAAAATTAGCATACTGTATCTTTAAAATGATATTCCATGGAGGCTAGGGTACAGATAACCCTTCCCAGGCTGAAATGTGATTGCTAATTTACTCACAGTGGCTTTTTTGAGAAGAAAAGACGTAGAGAGGCTCTTAGCCTTGTAGTTCTTGGGAGAATCTCTTCATTTTCAGTCGTTGTTTCACTCAGGGTGAGAATACAGTTACCTAGAGGTTCTTCTGTGTTTGCATAACCCTAAGTAAATGCTTACAAGTTAACACAGGCAGTTTATTACCATAAGTAAATATCATGCTCCAAAAGAGACATTGTTTTATTACCAAGAAAACTGTCTCCATAATTGGCAACAGGAAGTTAATAGACCAATTGATGGGCAATTGCCATTTGTTTTTCAAATGTTCATTGTTTGTTGCAGAAGTTCCAATTTTGGGGGACAGCTTCTGGACAATCGCGGTTCAATTTTCTCAGCGGTGTTGCCTTGCGCTGGTACCGTCACTGCCCACCAGAAATACAGCAAAAAGTTTCCAGCACAATCTATAGTGGGGGTCCCTTATGTAATGCTCAGGTTCATTAAAGTTCTTTTGTGTGCTTACTAGACTACTGGTACCATGCAACTTCTAACATTTCCTTAAAAAACAACAACGGGATTTTAACATATTTTAATTAAAATAGTTATGTGCCTCCAACATCATCTTCCAAGAAGTAAAATAGGGACCTGCATCATCTCTTTGAAAATACATCGATCTGCTCAGAAAAAGGATAATAGTAAGTAAAGGACGTCTTAATAGGGAGAGTGGTGGTGATGGGGAATCTAGATGAGGGACTAAATCTGCGCTTTGTATCAGATTGTGCCTGCCACTGTATCCATTTTGACTTTGACAAGTTGTCTCCCATCAACATCCATGGTGTAAAAATAAAATAATGCACCTAGAATAGCCTCACAGCGAGATAACTGGAAAATAAATTTAACAAATAAATGAATAAATATTCTTAACATTCAAAAATGTCGGGTGCTCTCTGAGCTTGGCTGTTTTCTTGCAGATGTTTCATTTCTAAAGTAGGTAATATCATCAGTGCACTGATGATGTTACCTAATTCGGTAATGAAATGTTCAACCTCGAGTTACAAAATATTCTCTTCTTATTCTAAAAGTGCTCACCAAAAAAAGATGAAGAATTTCGGTTTCTGGATTGGCAGAAGCATGTTGGCAAGTGAAACAAGAAAAATGCCACAACTCTCACAATAAGATGAGTTTGGAATTTTATTTGAAAACGATTAAGGCAATGGTCAAGCAATAAGTTTCCTGATGGGGTGATTATATTAAATTGATCATTTATATCCCACAAGCCATTTCTCCAAATAACCCTCATGTTATGATCAGTAAAAAATTCAGGAGGGTTCTGAACAAGATATCCCTCTAGAAAACTGTCACATCACAAATTTCAAGTTGATACTTCCTATTTAAAAAGTCTAATGCTACTTACCCATTCGGTTTTAGTTACAAGCATTCAAAGCACAACTCCAGTGGCAACTCCTCTTATTTCTGGTTGCCATGTTTACATATTTTCCCCTATTGTGTAATGTCAGTACTGCTTTTTTCAGCAAAGCAATTAAGCTTCTCTGAAGATAAACTATTTTTCAAGAAGATGAGATTACCTGAAGAATTGGAATAACAGGATAGAGAGTTTCAATAAACTTGTTCCAGGTCTCTGCTGCCATCATCAATCGACCTTGAAGAAGATACATCAGAAGAAATGTGGCAGCTGAGCACACCTGTTTTAATGAGAGAAAGTACAATAGCGCAATAAAGTGTGTTCAAACCAATTTGCTGGTGTCAAAAATGGAAATTAGGCTTTGCCTTGGGACATTGCACCAAAAAGCTTTTGTGTTTGTTTTTCTTTTTGTTTCTTTCTTTTTTTTTAAAAAAAAAAAAGCAAGAACAGCTATAAAATATTGTCAAGAATCTACTGCCTGTTAGCACTGAACAGTCTTCAAGCAGAGAATATGATTCAGGTCAAGAAATGCTTTCAATAAAGCACCGAAGATGACTTTTAAAAATAGTGCTCTAGTCTAAGCATTTAGGAAATCTTCACAACTTAAGGTTGGTTTCCTTATTACCTATTGAAAAAGCAGAGCATATTAGAGAAAGATCTTAAGATACTAACTGAACTTGAATCTTAGGAAAATTGTGTGTGTGTGTGAGAGAGAGAGGTGGGGGGGAGGGAGGGAGAGAGAGAGAAACAAATGAGAATGATACTGTATAAAAATCAAGCCTGGCTGCTACCAAATGACTAATTGCACTTTAGTCACTTTCTGTATTACTTCTTTTTATATTTTTGAAAATTCTCAAACTTGTTGCAATCCTAAGCATATTGAAAACAAAAGCAAGTTTCATTAATTTTAGTAAAGATAATAAACATAATGCAGGTTTGTGATCTATATATAGCCAGTTCCAAGAGAGCAATTAATTAAAAAGCTAAACAGGGTGGAGTTTATAAAGGTACAAAGCTTTGGGTCTACTAATTTCTTTTAATTTTCAGATTAATTCTGGTAACGGTATCATATTCAGAATGATGTACCTCATGCTGAGAATCCTGAAGTCCAAAAGTGCATATTTCATAAAGAACTTTGGGATGAAGCAGAAAATGTATACCACAACTGATCGAAGAAATAGACTTTACAGCATTATGAATGCCTAAACATTCCTAAAACAAAGATAAAAGATGTTTAAATATTAACCTGACAACACATGAATACTTAAGTCTACTGAGTTAGATAGAGCAACCCACTTTCAGACTGAAGTACATACATACACACACACACACACACACACACACACACACATATCCATATCCCTAAAACTGCAACTTTTCAAGCTTACAACTGGGAGCAATACTGCTGGTTTCCTATTGCTAGCATACATCCTATCATCTAGGTCAAAACTCCTAGTTTCTCACAGCAAGAAATCAGTGATCTGCAAGCAGACTAATTTGGAATAAGGAAAACCTTTCTGCTTGGTCCCTCCTGCCAACCTTATTTAAGGTTGCTGGGAGAGAATGAGAAGAAAACAGCAAGAACATGAGGGAATGCTCTCACCCTGACAATTGATAAAGAGCAAAAGTACTGTCCAACATGCAGTTAATTCATTTCCTTAAGGCAATGATATCATTAAATCATAACACATTATAATATGAAAAATTCAAACAGATATCCCTTCCTCTTTGAAACTCAGCAAATTGAAAAAAACCCTCAGAATTAATTCACACCAGGCAATCTCAAGTTTATATGGTGAAAGATTTCAGTTTTTCAGCCTGAGTAAATCCCTGTGAGGTTATTAAATGGAAAAAGGGGGAATATAGATGTAAGAGAGGGGGGTGGGGGAAGAGTATCTCTTGGATTCTGAAGAAACCACAGTCCTTGTTAAATGCTAACCTTAACAATGTCAAGACAGCAGCGATAGGCTTCTGTTCTAATATTTGGCACAGGATGTGACAACAGATGGAGAAGCACCTTCTGACTTTTATTCTGCAGCAGTGGGTCAGCTTCAGCAGATTTCCAGCTACAACCAGAAAAACAGAGTATTACAGAAATGGCTTCAAGGCTTAGATAGCAAATTCTCTCCACTCAAAACCCACAGAGGTCTTGGGTTATTATTCCATTATTTTTTTCACTGTCATTCCTGGGTAGGTCCCCAAGAAATTGAAACTTGACAAGCTAAGAGATTTGGGGTAATTTCAGCAGTTAAACTGACCTTGTAGTCTTTTATTCTGAAGAAAAATGAAGGAAGTTTTATTTTAATGTTGTTAGCTCTTCCTGACACATTTGTGGATGTCACCATTGTCAAGGTAGTAAAATTTGGGAAGTTTTTGTGATCATTGTTTGCCTTAAATTTCTTTGTAAATCATAAGATATAGATAAAACATACACACAAATCTTGATTAGATGGATGTGTGTATTGGACTACGTAAAAAATCTATCTATACCAGGGGTGTCAAACTCAAGGTGCTTAAATCTGTCCCACAGGGCTGCCTGGAAATAGCAAAAGACCAGCCCACGGTGCCTCTGGTAGCCAATATGGGGCACATGTGAGGGCCTCATGCACCCCAGACCCCGTTTTTGGCCTGAATGGCTTCCAACAGCTCTCTGCCAGCCAAAATGGGACACAGGGTGCCACCTACCACACCCTATTTTGACCCGGCAGGGTTCTGCAGGTGTCCACCCCGTTTTTCCTCCTCAGCCGGCCCTCAGAAAACTACAGTGCTAATCTGGCCCTTAAAGAAATCCCGTTGATCTATACATAGCAACATGTTACCACATAAATGGTACCGTATAGTGCAAATTTCCCATTTCATTATCAGAATGATGTCTTAAATTTATCCAATATGTTCTACAGAAACAGATTTTGTATGGATAAGTATAATAAAATATGGGATACATTTATACAAAGTACAGTAGCTTAAATAGAGCATGATAGCCATATGTGTACTGGAATATATATATTTATTTATATATATGTATATATGCATAATCTTTGAATTAAATAATTACTGTATGTAAAAAATTGAAACTCTGTACTGCTGTAAAACATATAACAGTACTATATATTTTAAAAAATTTTTTTGCTATTGCATTTTTTCACTTATTTTTAAGGACTCACTATGTATTCTTTTTTATAATTATATATATAAACTCACTTAACAAATTTCTCACTTAGCAACATATATTTTGGGTTCATTTGTGATCGTAAGTCAAGGACTACCTGTATTTTTGCATTTTATTCATTTCTTTTTTTCCTTTTCTATTATTATTTTAAAAGCAACAAAACATAAATAATTTATCCAATATGTTTGTTTATTCAGTTGAAAGGACAATTTATGTGGATTTATATACTTAATAGCTGAAAATGTCATCATAGAATCCTATCATAAGATTTTTATACGGCATGCAAATTGCCCAACTTACATATCTGAGCAAATGTTGAGGTATTCCTTAAGTAGAACAAAATACTGGTGAAACGGAAGACCTTTTATGGCTTGTTCTGCCAGTTCAAGTAAATCAAGATGATTTTTTTCTCCCTTTTAAAAAAGTGAAATATATCATTTAATTTTAAAGAGTAGAGAGATGAATTAATGATCTATAAATTAACTTGCACTCATATGACCAACAAAAATAATTGACTAATAACGATGAATGTAACAACTAGCAGCAACTCTCAAAAATTCTATAAACAAGACAAACCAGTTTACCAATAGAATTACCAATAACCATATCAAATTATTAAATACTTAAAATACTGATTATCAGGACTACTCTTACAACACTTAAATAGGTCTAGGAATACATATATGACATTTTAAACTATTTTTTTCCCACTGAAGTTCACTTAAGCTGAATGTTTTACCTCCTTGCGAACATCCAACATAAAATTACAAGCACACTCAATTGAACAGGCAGCTTCTGCAGCTTGTTTATAAATACTGTAGTTTTCTGAATTCATTTGTTCCAAATAAGCTGTGATTGATTCGTGTATATTTGGATATTCTAAGGAAAATGGCATGTCCACGGAAAGAACAAACAATGCTGTCACTAAAGTCTCTGGTAAAACACTAGTGGCCTGGAGGAAATAAAAGAAAAAAGGTTTAGGTAAAAGTCTAAAGGTCAATCTATATAATAGTCTTATATATTCATCTTAAATATTGATTATTTTGAGTATGTGACCAACATAATTCCTTCAAACAAAATTATGTTTAATTTGCAGAGATATTATGTCAAATTACTTCAAAGTAAATCACTTGGGAATTTTTAACTACTGTTAAAATAGTTAATGTGAGATAAAAAATAAAATAAAAATGTATTGCAGAGACCTTTAGAATTCAGAACCTCCAGTATAAATATAGCAATCAGGTTTCATGTGGAATGTTTGCAGAAAAAAAAAAACCCTTTGCTTAATTTAAGAAGGTAATTGTTCAATTTTCTGGGACAGACATATGTCAGGATTTTTAATCTCTTATTGCTTTCTTCTAGATTATTTGAAAGGTCTGAAATCTATCTATCCTAGATAAACTCTTAGGAACTGAGTTCTCCTACCCCAAAAAGTGATTTCAATAATCCATCAAAATAAATATTTACAATATAATTATATTTTGCTTATTTCTGCCCCCACCAGGTAAATATATTTTGGTCTTCTTTTATTAACTATTTTAGTTGCTTCATAAATTATATTGCTTCATCAAATGGAATGAATTTATCCTCACAAATACAGCAATTACAGCAGTACATTTAATGACATTCAAAATTACAATTGTACTGAAAAAAGTGACTTATGACCATTGTAGCATCCCCATGGTCACATGATCAAATTCAGATGTTTGGCAACTGACTCATATTTATGATGGTTGCAGTGTCCTGGAGTCATGTGACCACCTTTTCCGACCTTCTAACAAACAAAAGCAATGGGGAAGCCAGATTCACTTAACAACCGTGTTACTAACTTAACAACAGGAATGATTCACTTAAAAATGGTGGCAGGAAAGGTTGTAAAATGAGGCAAAACTCCCTTAGCAAATGTCCCATTTAGCAACAGAAATTCTGGGTTCAGTTGTAGTTGTTTAAATTGAGGATTACCTGTACATATTATTTTAAATGGTTCTGTAAAAGAAAAAGAACAATTATATATTAAACTTACAAATGATACGTGTAACAGCTGATGTTTGCAATGCAGCACAGCAATTTTTAAGCAGGAACATAGAGCAGCAAAATTACACAAGTGACCAGCAATGTTTTTTAACATTATAGGTAGTTCTTCATTTTTGACCACAATTGGGACAAAAATTTCCATTGCTAAATAAGGACATTGCACCTGGCTTTATGACCTTTTGTGCTACAGTGGTTAAGTGAATCACTGCAGTTCTTAAGTAAATCATGGTTGTTAAATGAATCTAGTTTCCCCATTGAATTTGCTTGTTGGAAGCCAGCTGGGAAGGTCATGAAAGGCAATCATATGACCCTGGGACACTGCAACTGTCATAAATATATGCCATTTTCAAAGCACCCATGAGACCGTGGCCGGTCGAAAGTCCTAACTTTTTTTAAAGTGCTACTTTAACTTTTAATAGTTGCTAAATGAATGGCTGCATGTCACGGATTATCTGTATCAATCCCTAGCTGAAATCAGAGACAAGAATAAGCTCCACACCTGCTCAGACACAACAGAATTAACTATTATCAGAAAAATCTCAACATTAGTAGGACTGTCATTTAAGATGTAAAGTTCTTATCCAGCCACTAGGGGGCAAACAATACACTTGTCATTTTTATACTTGTTCCTTTAAAATGCTGTTTTGCAATACCGTTCACTTATTTATTGCCCAACATCACAGTACAAGGTCGGTAACTCAGTCCAGAAATCTATTCTGAATGAACAGCAACTTCAGGTGGCTTGCCTTTGACAACTGCAATTGAAAACATCACTATAAGGAGTATAACATTTGAACACCAAGGCAAAGCAACTGCTTTTAGCATGATGAAAGCAAAACAATGAAAACCAGATACTAATGGGTATGTTTCAAAACTAGACAGAACATCAACTACTTCTAGTAATGTATTTGATGCTATAGGTTGTTTGATATAGTAGAGAGTCAGGGAGATGGCCTTGAGAGAAATAGGGAAAAATCTTTACATAAGAAAGAGGGTTCTTTCTTGTTTTTAAGAGTTCTGCACTGTATTTCCCTTTATCTGTGTCTAACTGAAATATTGCCATTTAAATGCATGCTATCCTAAGCATTTTTCCCAACGTAACCTTGAAGATGTAAAGAAATGGGCACATCTCACCTTCTCTACAGGTAGCAATACTTGCAGGAGTCGAACTGTGAAAAGTGAAACACTAACAAATGCCATCCTGTGGTGCACTACTGCAAGCTCAGGTTTTTCTGAGCTGGTGTTACTTTTGTGATAAGTAATGATTTCACCTAATGAATCTAGGATTCCAACCAGTTTTTCTTTCTGTAGACGAAACAAAAAAAGTAGCAAATCAATATGCCCAACATAAGCCAGGAATACAGTCACTTGCTAATGCAGGAACTGTTTGAAGATAAAGCCTCCCTGGATAATTTTTTCATTGTTTAATTTAGTTATTTAATTTCTATCTCATATTCCCATCAATGAATAGCATTTATGCTGAATAACCAAAATAAAAGTCACAAACATGTATTTCTCCTAGCTCTATTTTGACTTCATGCCAAAATAGATTCACGAGCAATTGATTTTTTTTAATCATTACAAATCTACAAAGAAAGTATGTTCCAACCTATTTAAAAAAAATACTATGTCAGTGCAATTGCTGAGGTGAGGTGGACTTCTTCACTAATGAACAGCCCTATGTTAGCACCTTATTCATTAGTTTATGATATGATGTTCTCCTTTAAGAATGTCCTTTTGTTCTTTGCTACTTTGTTTCAAGGATTTTTTTTAGAGAACTGCAGAAAAAAAATCAAGTTTTGTCACAACATCGTTTTCATATTCCTACTCTTAAGAAGAGAAAGCAGCAGTCTAGTTTTTCTAGTCTAGTGAAAAATAATAATAAAGCAAGGCAGTCTGAAGAAATTGAAGAGGACTTTAAACAAGGAGAAGACCACGCAATGGGAAGAAAAAGATCACTCTTAATTCCCTCAGTGACTTTTTATGTAATTTTACTTTTACTCATGACTGGATTTTAAAAAAAGATGAATACAGAATATATCATTCAGTTTTTAAAAATGATTATGGTTTCTAAACCCTTCATCATAATGGTAGGCTTAAAACAGAGATAAAGTAGATGTAATATTTTTTTTATCTTAAAGATAAAAAGATGACACATTTAAGATAAGCTAACAATTACTGTACGGAATGGCCTTGATTATGGTGGTACATAAATATAATTAGCAAACAAATAAATAAGCAAATTATTCTGGTTAAAATAGAAAAATTCTCACAAATTCTAGACCAAAGAGACTCTTGTCTTCCCAAACATCTTCAGACACAGCATCAACAATAAGTAGCAGGTCTTCGGCAACCAATTCCAACACTTGTATGGTTATTCTCCTACTACCTGAGAATTGATGAACAGAGAAAGATTGCAGAAGTAATGTTCCTTCCTGCTGAATAATGCAATATGTTAATTACTCAGGGTTTCTTAAATAAAGAACTATTAAAATAAGGAACATTACAGATTTCCCTTCCTTGCATTGAGGTGCTGATTGCTCAGATGAAACTACACTATACTAAATATCCAGCAGTATCTTTGAAAACTTAAGTATGTTTTAAATGTTTTTTCCAATGAGACCACTCTATCAGGGCAACTTGGTCTACTCGATTATGGGAAGGAGCATACTGCTTCTGCTTCCACCTTTCAGTCCCAATTCAGGAGCCTTCACAGGCAGTCGCTTTGCAACAAACTATTTTTTTTTTTTGTTGAATTTATGTTTACCGACAAAGAAATAAAGGGAGACTAGTACAGATCTATTTCAAGCTATTTAGCTCTCATCAGCTAGCCATACCCTTCTGGGATTTGAACCCGGGCTACTTGCATATATTAGGTAGATGTATTAACCTCTTAGCACCGGGCTCTCCTTGCTTTGTTGGCTATACCAGGGGAAAGATTAAGTGTTTTTTCCCGTGAAACCAGTCTATCAGAGCAACCTGGTCTACCCAATTATGTACAGCCGACATATACTAGTTTTATTCTTTGTCAGTAAACATAAATTCAACACTTAAATATGTTTTCTTGCCACAGAGACAGTTTAGAAGTTTAATACTTTCTAAATGAAACACTATTATACAATACTACTATAAGTAGTCCTCAGTTAACCACAGAAATTGGGACAGGAATTTCCAACACTAAGCAATTATTCCAACCAGAAGTGATAGAGGGAGTTGAAACTGCAGGAACCTTGGGTGAGAGTGACCATGTCATACTAGAATTCAACATAGCACAAACACAAGCAACAGAACATAATGACACCAGAGTCTTGGATTTTAAAAGAGCTGATTTCAACAAACTCAGAGAGAACTTGGGAAAGATTCCATGGATGAAAATCCTAAAGGGGAAAACAACTCAAGAATCTTGGGAAACTTTAAAAAGTATGATCATAGAAGCCCAGACCAGCACAATACCACTGAGAAAGAAAAACAAGAAATCCAAGAAGAAACCAGCATGGCTACACAAAGATCTCTCTGGCAAATTGAAAGAAAAAAAGGACAAGTACAAAAAATGAAAAGAAGGACATACAACTAAGGCAGAATATCAGCAAATAGCCAGAATCTGCAAAGATGAAGTCAGGAAAGGAAAGGCTCAGAACGAACAAAGATTTACAACAAAAGTCAAAGATAATAAAAAAAGTTTCTTCCAACATATAAACAACAAGAAAAAAAATCAAGGAAACAGTCAGTCCACTAAAGAGAGAAGACAGCAAGGAAGTAACAGGCAACAGAGAGAAAGCAGAACTGCTTAACTCATTCTTTGCATCCGTCTTCACACAAAAAGAAACTATAGCTCAACCCACCAAAAACATAACTGTAAAAGACAGACCAGAAATAAAAGTTAAAATAAGCAAAAAAAAAAAAAAATAGTAAGAGAACACCTGTCAGATCTTGATGAAAACAAATCACCAGGCCCTGATGGATTACATCCCAGAGTTTTAAAGGAACTGGCAGAGGTCATCTCAGAACCACTGCACTATATCTTTCAAAAATCCTGGAGCACCGGGGAACTATCAGGGGACTGGAAAAGAGCTGATGTGGTTTCCATCTTCAAAAAAGGAAAAAAAACAGACCCAGGAAACTATAGACCAATCAGCCTAACATCAATACCCGGAAAGATACTGGAAAAGATAATAAAAAAACAGATCTGCCAACATCTAGAAACAAGTAAAGTGATAACTAGCAGTCAGCACGGGTTTGTTAAGAACAGATCATGCCAAACCAATCTTATTTCATTCTTCAACACAGTGACTAAATTAGTAGACCAGCAAAATACTGTGGACATAATATATTTAAATTTCAGCAAAGCATTTGACAAAGTAGACCACAACCTACTTCTTAGTAAGCTAGAAAAAAGTGCAATAGATAGCACCACCACTTGGACTCGCAACTGGCTGACAAACTGTATTCAACGAGTAGTCCTTAATGGGTCTAAGTCTACATGGAGGGAAGTAAGCAGTGGGGTGCCACAAGGTTCTGTCTTAGGCCCAATACTCTTCAATATCTTCATTAACGACTTAGATGAGGGAATAGAAGGGGAACTTACCAAATTTGCAGATGATACTAAGCTGGCAGGAATAGCTAACACCCAAGAAGATAGGCTCAAGATCCAGATGGATCTTGATGGACTAGAACACTGGGCCGTATCTAATAAAATGAAATTCATTGTAGAGAAAAGTAAAGTCCTACGCTTAGGCAAGAAAAACCAAAAGTACACATATAGACTGGGTGAAACCAGGCTCAATAGCAGTAACTGTGAGAGGGATCTTGGAGTCTTAGTGGACAACCAGCTAAATATGAGCCAGCAGTGTGCAGCAGCAGCCAAAAAAGCTAATGCAATCCTAAATTGTATTAACAGAGGGATACAATCAAGATCAAGGGAAGTACTAATACCACTCTATAAAGCCTTAGTAAGACCACACCTAGAGTACTGCATCCAGTTTTGTTCACTACATTATAAAAAAGATGTTGAGACTCTGGAAAAAGTACAGAGAAGAGCAACCAGGATGATTAGGGGACTGGAGACTAAAACATACAATGAACGGTTGCAGGAACTGGGCTTGGCTAGTCTAGTAAACAGAAGGACCAGGGGAGGCATGATAGAGGTCTTCCAATATTTGAGGGGCTGCCACAAGGAGGAAGGGGTCAAGCTATTTACTAAAGCGCCTGTAGGCCAGACAAGGAATAATGGATGGAAACTGAACAAGGAGAGATTTAACCTGGAAATAAGGAGAAACTTTCTGACAGTGAGAACAATCAACCAATGGAACAGCTTGCCCTCAGAAGTTGTGGGAGCACCATCAGTTGAGACTTTCAAGAAGAGATTGGACTGCCATTTGTCAGAAATGGTGTAGGGTCTCCCGCTTGGGCGGGGGGTTGGACTAGATGACCTACAAGGTCCCTTCCAACTCTGATTATCTGTTATCTGTTAAAAATAAATTTTAAAAGTGCAGATAATACTTTGTTTACTCTGTTATCTATTATCTGTTATCCAACCAAGTTTGCTATTTTGTTCAGTTCTCCTCTCTACATGAAAATACATTATAAATAGCTCCCACTTTATCAATCAGCTAGTTACAAATGTTGTAAAAAGGGCATTTTTTCCTGCAACGCCTCAAGAAAGTGGAGCTATTAAATCCCACATGATCTTCTAGTCCATTCCCTCCAACATTTCTCCTATCTCTTCTACTCCATTTGTCAAAATATCTTCTTTTAATCTTAAAGTAAAATGGTAAAAGACAGTAAAACTAGACAGCTTGATGTTAAAATAAAACAGGAACCTCAAGCAGTTTTATAAACTATCAGTCAAACTGATGTAGCTCATTTGGTTGCTACAAGGAAAGAAACTGAGAGAAGGAAGAACTATGCAGAATGTCTGAAACAACTTGAAGGAAAGATACCATAAAATCATATTGGGTGTTTTATAAACAGACAATAAACTATTGCTATTCTATCTCACTTTTGAGCTTCCCTTTGTGCAGAAAGAATCATAAACTAAAAGGAGATAAGCTGAATATAAGGCAGAACCCCAAACACAAATGTTAAATTTTCCAAAACATTATAGTTTTCACACTATTAAACAGATATGAAAAATGCAAGTAGGGGTGCTTAGATTCACAACTAGAGTGTTCAGATTGCCATGTCAAACCTATTCTTTGTGTGTAGAATAAGAACGGTGGGAGGTAAAGTATGTATTACTGTAGGCAAAAATTCCTTTAAAAATAAACGTTACCTGTTTTAAGAAGAGGCACTGCATGTTCCAAAATGGCTACACAGAACTGAGGAAGACTAAATTGTTGAAACTGTAGCTCCAAAGTGTCTACATTTTCCAGTTCTGGCAGGTCAACATGACCCATATCCAAAGGTGATGGATTAGATATTCCAGAAGTTACATGACCATGAGCACTGCTTCCACTATGAAAACAAAACAAACAAAACAATGATATATAAAAAAGGCACTATGTTTCTACAACCAGCATTATATTATAAAAATAACCAATACTCAGACTGAATGGGAAAACTGGCCTAAACAAAATTCTTCTATTCAAACTCTAATTGATGGATCTAATGTAATTCCACCTGAGTTCCTTTCCCTGTGGATAAAACAAATCTTTGTCAACAAGACCTTTACTATCAAGCCTCCTAAAAATCAGATATATCAAATAGAATTGAAAACAGACCTTAACAAGTCAAAGAAAATGGAGAGGTTAAAATTGAGCGCCACTGAAGGCAAGTAAGAATCAAAAGCCTTCTTTCTGCTGCATACAATTATTTTAGTATTGGAGCTAATTTACCATCTCTGGCAAGATAATTTCATATTTAGGATGCTTACCACAGGACAATCTTCCCACCAACTAACCTTTTTTTGGTGTTGGGACTATAAAGCTTTTTAAGATAACTGCAACTTCGAAGACTTTTACATTTGCCCAATCCAATTAGGACTTCGTATCAACCCACTCATTGGGTACATATCTATTTATCTACATTTTCCACCACTAAACTTTTATATAACTCATCCTACATTTTGCTCCAATGTATGCCCAAGTTGTGTATAGTACCTATGTGGTCAAGGATGGAAACTCACTGCGTGCTTGTAATGCAATGATAAAAATTTCTGGAAAAGGGTATAATTGCATACAAGAGAAAACCTTTTATGAAATATTAATAAAATAGAAGTATATTAAGTGCAATTTTTGATTATTTTCTGGAATAGCAACACTGAAATACTTATTTTAAAGGAAATAATACCATTCCAAATAATCATATCTTACAATCTGGTTGATAACTGGAACCAGAGGTTTAGTCTTCTAAGTATTCTGGTGAGAGAGAAGTTTCCTGAGGGTGGGCTCTAATACAAGTTCCAAAAGCTCAGAAGACTGAACCTCTGGTCCTGGTGACCGACCCAGATTGGATCCTACAACATTATCCTGGGAGATGTATATTCACCTTCATTCGTGAATCCTAGCTTAATCCAATGACAGCGGAAGGCAGTTTTATTACTTATTATTATTATTATTATTATTATTATTATTATTATTATTATTATTATTATTAATTATTATTGGTGTGTTCTGTTTCACTTTGTTGTTCAACTATTTACTGAGTTGTTCAACCAATATAATTGATACAAATAAGAATAAGAAAAAAGTTTATATTTATAGCTTATATATCATTTCATTTAAACTATTACTGAAGGACCTAAAAATCAATAACTAAATAATGCAAACCTGAAGAATGAGGAGGAAGAGGAAGAGGAGGAGGAAGAGGGGGAACATGTTTCTTTTATAACAATCATAATATTCCCAGCTGTCTTCTTACTTGGAAGATTCTGCATCCCAATCCTGACCATCACCCCTTGGACGCTGGCCTATACGTCCTATTACAGAAGGTCGAGGGCTGCTGCTTCCAGGAGATGGATTCTGCGAATGAGGTAATCTTCGGGCATCTGGGCAATATGACATCGACGAATTCTGGGAAACGGTACCTTTCATAACACAAACAGATACGTAGATCTGTCATATCACTAACACACACTTTTACTTAAAAGGAAAAATCTATTTCTTGCTGCATATAATAAGAAATTTTTTTTAGTGGAAGCCATGATCCCTGCCTTCGGGCTGTACTCAAAAGCTCAGAAGATTTTGGTGTTTCAGTTATTTGAAATTCAGCTAGAAAAATTCCTTTCCCTTTTGCTAGAACTACAAAATGCAGCAAAAAAAGTGGGGGGGGGGGGGGGGGTTTGTTCAACTATGTAAAAGAAAAAAAATGAGTGTAAAATAGGGCAGGATTAATGCATATCCAAGCGGGGCCCCAGCTGATAAAACACAACGAGAAATCGCTGGTGCGATCTATGGCATTAACAATACCTATAGGCTGTTCCTATGTGTGTAGAATAGCTACAGATAGTCTTTGACTTACAACAGTTCATCAAAGGTCACAACAAGTGATGTATGAGGGCTGCAGCATCCTCATGGTCATTTGATCAAAATTCAGATGCTTGGCAACTGACTCATATTTATGACAGCTGTAATATTCCAGGGTCATACATACGATCCTCTTTTGCAATCTTCTGACAAGCAAAGTCAATAGGGAAAGCTGAATTTACTTAACGACCCTTACTTAACAACTGCAGTGATTCACTTAACAACTGTGGCAAGAAAGGTCGTAAAATGTGGCAAAACTAACTTAGCAACTGTCTCAACTATGGTTGTAAGTCGAGGACTACCTGTACAGCCAACATATCCAGAATCATTTGTCACTCTGTCATTAATGAGGGAAATCCTGAAAAATGCTAAAATAAAGACAGATCCAGGTTCTACCATCACATGGTATCCTGAAGATAAATAATATTTATAATTCCATTATTAATTCCTTGAAACGATTACTTTCCAACACTGCTATTTTCATTTCACTATTTTAACTGTTACAACCCATTGTTACATTTTCTTATTAACATTTTTAGATAGAACAGATTCCTTAACTGCAGGAAGTAAATTGAGTTTGAATCCTGACACTCTTCTCCACTACTTTTTTTTTATTTTTACCTCCCATATTAAAAGCCATTTGAGCAATACACTTTAAGTAAATACATCTTACTTAAAAAAGGGTGGGAGAGAGAAATAGTTAAGTTAATGGCAAATAAAACAGACTCAGGTTATCCTAATGAGCTATATGCAAACCTGTATCACTTGAGACAAAACTTGGATCTCTATGGAAGTTCAGTCTGTTCCTTAAGAAAACACATAGTTGCTCTAGGCACAAGACAGCCTGCAATGCCAAATGGTGTTGTCCATCTTTTGCAAGGCCTAGGGTTGTTAGACTCAGAAGATTCTAAAATAAACACAAGTACATTTTGTTGACTTGAGTAAAATACTTTTAAAATATGCATGTCTGCCTGGTTAATATTTTCAATGTCATTGTACACACGTTGTGCATTGATAATAAATGTTTGATTTGATTTGAATATATTCAATGTGCCCTAAATATGTATGCTAATGCTTCTTTCCTAAATATTCCTTGCCAAAATGTTGCAAATCAGAGACCATGGAATTTTTGCTGTGTAATCATTCAGGACTTTTACAGTTGTATTTTTCGATAGATAATTTCAATATGAAACATTTGCATTTTGGTCTTCGTCCATGATAAAGGACTGACTATAAAGCATTTAGTCTTCTGAAACCATATTCCAGGAGAATGATTTTTATTTTGTTCAGGAAGTAAACTCTTGTAAACACCCTTAGGAATTGCAATTTTCCATGTGAGTATAAACATCTATCCCTGGCATTTTATATAAATACACTAAATTATAGACTATACATTAAATGGAGTCACATCCATATAATCAAAGTAATTCTTATCTTAGATGAATCTCAGGCATGTATCAGGCAAATATTGCCTTTGTTTCCCATATTACTTATATGATCAAATGTCAGATTTATCAGGCATAATAAGCCACCGCTTCCCATTTCCAATTCAAAGACTTAAGATGGTTTAGAGATGTATGGAAAGCATTCAAGGATGCTGTTGAGATTTTTTTTTTTGGCAACTACAGAGTACCAAAATACATTCAGTTGGTTGACAAATTTCTTACAGCATTCAAGACCATGAAATGCAACATGTCACTGAAGATTCGTTTTCTGCATTCACATGTGGACTTCTTTTCCTGAATATCTAGGTGCAGTTAGTGGTGAACATGAAATTTTCACCAGGATACTGCCACAATAGAAAACTGGGCAACTGGAATCCATCAATGCTGGCTGACTACTGTTGGGCACTGCAGTGAGATACATCAGATACTGATACTGAAAATCAGCAGCAAAACATTTTAGCCTTGTTGAAATCATGCAGCATGTCAGACACATTATACATAGTAACCATTAAAAGTTAATTTCTCAAGATTCCTGTGTGATATAGTCATTCGGAAACTATCGTTCTTGTTCAGTTTGAAAGGGCCTATCATAACAACCAATTTTTTTCAGGAAGCGAAACTTTGGGGGTGGGGGGAACCCTATAGTCCAGTGAAACCAAAATCATGCAGGCCAATATTACTCAGACACACATTTAAAGTGAATTTAGCATTTTTATCCATCTATCAAGTCCTTCCCAAGGTATCCAGGATGTTTGATGGTGTTAAAGATATTGTTACAGGATGCACAAGCTTTTTCTAAGTAGCACTGCCTTTTGCAATCAACTGATGGTGATTTTGCAAATGCAAAATCCTTCTCATAGGGAAATCTAAGGTCTACCTCTGTACTTAATAAGAGTGAAATGTTCACTTCTGAATATATTGGCTTCAGTGTAGAAAAATATCTTGCTCTCATGATGTATTTCAAACAAGTGATCCTGACAACTTCAAGGTTTCCAAATATTACTTTTACCCAAAGCAACCAATGAAATATTTTAATTAAATGAAAGCATTCTAACCTGAACAATCTTTGGCCTCTGTAAAAAGATCTCAGCAGGAAAGTCTTGCATGATAACATCTCGCAGAAGCTCACAAGTATTCCAAATTAACTTGGAGTTTTTGCTTCTCAGTGAACTGAAAAATACATGTAAATGACGATGCTTGGCATTTTGCAAACTTATTGAAATCTTCCTCATTAATTCAGTTTTGGATTGGATAGTAAACCAACAACATAAATAGTTTAGCTCAGCATCGTTTAAATGTTGAGACATACAACATAGTTTGAGAATGAGTTTTTTCTCAGTATCCCATGGACCATCCAGCAATCCTCACTTTTATCACATGGTATCTCTGCCTTTTTCTACTCATGCGTTTTTCTAGAAACGACTCTGGGATGTTATGCAGAGAGGGTAAAACCCCTGCACTGACTTGCATAATTACTAGCATTGTTTATTCTGCTGTTGTTTTTCGTATAGTTCTAATCCAATACAAAGTTATCAAATTTCTAGCTGCTGGGAGCCTTCAAATGTTTCCTTGTTTCTTCTTCCTAACAAGCTTCCTATATAGTGTAACTTAACACTCCTCGGTTATCTGTGAGAACTAATTTCCATGTCTTGAGGCTCTCCAGTATTGTTCGCATAAACATTATATACTGTGTATGCTGTTATAGGCTGTAGCTAACATTTCAATATAGGCAGCTGCTACTGAGCAGAATTCAGGCAAATCTACGACCTTTTTAAGCCTCGTTTATTTCAGTATACCATAGCCTTTTAAATGCAAGTAACTGTAAGGTTAATCAATAGGAATTTACCATTAAGGAGATTAATGTTTTGCCACTGAAATCAACCCAAGTTGGGAAAATGTAGCTTCAGCAAGAGCATCAATTAGAGGGCCAAAATTGGAACGAATACAAAACCAATTATGGTGTGAACTTTTGTCCAATTAAGGGGAGGGGGGAGGAGGAGCTATACGTTTATTTTACCATAGCTTTGCTAAAGTTACACTCTTTCAAAATCATTTGTAAGCTGAAGCAAAATACACTTAATATTCTGAGATAAATTATAGCACTAATATATTACCTTTCACTTGATGAAAGAACATGTCTATCTGTGGTGGTCAGGGATAACCAAGGAAATGTAGAAAACTTCAGACATTTCACTACATGTTTCACTGGAAATAAAAAAAAAAAACCACAAAGAATTCTGCATGTGTAAATTCTCAGGAGCTTTCCTTACAGTGTTTACACAACAGTGTCTATATCACCCTACTTACCTTTTTTAAATAATAATAATAATCTAGGTCTGCTAATGCTGAATTTTAAAATTCTACATTAAAAATCACATTAATTTGAAATTGAGTTTGAAGCTAGATTTTAAATATTTATTACTTAATTTGCTGCAGAACAGCTTTTTAATACAGAAATGAAGAATATACTGGAAACCTACAAATTGGTGGCTTATGCTATTTGCATAAATTCTGAGAAACTCAGTATGGCTCAACCTCAGATTATTCTTACTCAAATACCTAACATAGCATGGCTAGATAAAAAAATTTCTTGCATACTAAGGGGAATCCACAAAACAACACATTGGCCTCTTATAGAAATAGCATTAAAGATTTATATAACCCTTCACTGTGTTTTACAGCCCTCTCTAAGATTGCCCCCAACAATCTGGGTCCTCATTTTACCAACCTCAGAAGGATGGTAAGCTAAGTCAACCTTGAGCCTCTCAGGATTGAATTCTTGGCAGTGGGCAGAGTCAGCCTGAAATAATACTACATTCTAACCACTGCGCCACCATGGCTCTTCCATTTATATATCATTTAGATTAATTCTGCAACTTTTTTTCCCCTTTCTTCTCATAGTTTAACAGACTTTTTGAATTGAACTTTTGGCCTTGAAGCTGGATGGCTGGTGATTGTTGACATACTGTATATGACAGCTCAACCCTCATACTTCATAGTTCAATATTTATTTGTTTATTCAGAAGCTACCTCAATGTCCACATGATTCAATGCTCTTCTGTTTTCAGCTTTCGAGCCAGGCAAAGTTAGGAAAGAGGCACAGCCGGGATTCCAACAATGCTCTTCATTGTGATAGACTAGAAGAACAGACTCTTCAGGACCTATCTTATGCCAAATAAAATCAATTATTTGGATTTTGTTCTCAGGCTTTTTCCCATTCTTGGGTCCAATTCTTCTCTTAATGATGCAGTCATTTCTGCTCTTTCCCAACATAAGGTTTAGATTTTTTCATTCTTCCCTCTTTGTTCAAAACACCTACCTTTTCATATTCAGTTTACTGCTTTACTGGGTAGTATTCTTTAAACAACATTGTAATATCTCAGCCCTCAGGTTCCCATTTCTTTAATTCTATTCAGATTTTACACTGCTTAGCCAACAGTTACACTAGTCTCTCTTTTTTACATAGTTTCATTTTAGCCAAACCTTCCAATTTTTTAAGCAAAGCTTAATTCCAAAAGTATTTAAAATTTTTCATAAAAATGGTACCTGCATCAAAACATTCAACCCACCATTGCATCACAGATCTCATTGCCGTAACAACAGAACACACAAAACCCAAAACAGAGAAAAAATACTGAAGCTCACTATTACCAATAAACTAAAATTAAGTAAACTCATCACTCCTTGTCATGTTTAAAAGAATCAGTCTGATCGTTAATATCTACTTCTCCTCAAAGCAAAAACTCATATATTGATTCTTTTATATGCTGAGAATGCAGGATTACTTCTTTTCTCTCCAATGGAGTTGAGAAGCTTAGGGAAGCTTGTTCTGTATTGCTCAGAATAAGGACTGCAAATTAATTAATATAAAACAAAAACAATGTTCTTTGCTAAAAGAATCTATCTGCTGAACAATGAACAGAGATTTAATATACCCTAGAGGATATACAAGTTGTCTTCAACTTACAACTACAATTGGGACCAGAATTTCTGTCTTCAGTTGTTGCAATTGTAAGTTGAGTCAGAACCAGTTTTATGACAATTTGTATAATGGTTTAAGCAATTCATTTCACCAGTTTTTAACCAAATCACACATTTAGCAAAACTAGCTTCCCCAATGGATATCTTTTGCTGAAAATATGCAAACAAGTAGAAAATAGATCATGTGACTGCAGAACAGTGTGTCCTAACTGAGAGCTAGTTGCCAGGCATCCAGTTTCAATCACCTGACCATAAAGTGGCTTGATGGTCATAGGGGCAAGTACTGCCATAAGTCATCTTTTTAAAGGCCATCATACTTTTGAACTGTCCTTAAATGAATGGTCACAAGTCAAGGACTGCCTATATTCAGAATATATGATCAATTGGTCTGAAAGAACGCATTAGTCATTCTTAAATTACTTCACATGGTAGAGGGCCATTATTTTGTCTTAGCTTTTAACATATTTCAGGCAGATGACCCAACTACTGCATAGCTCCAAATTATGTACATATAAAAATGTTAAGGCATTATTAAGCACGGTATATCTAATGTGCCCTAAATGCAGCTTTATAACAAGATGAATAACAAGATAATACATGATTCAGGTGAGACCCTGAGATTACAGTATTTTAGAAAATGTTGGTTCAAATTACTCTTCTCCCTCTTGTTTTGGCCCCTTTGACAAATAAAATAAACTATTGGTCTAGTTGGTAGCAAAATAGTAGAAGACAAGTTACAAGCTATTACAATTGCCCTGAATTATGTGAAGTGATTGGGGTTTACTAAAGTTGAGAAAACTTTTAACCAGCAAATAATAGTTGATAACATCCCAATTACTAGAGTACAGTGTCTGATTTAGGCGAGTGCTTACAAAGAAATCTTTGCTGTAGTTAAGTACCTTATCAATCAAAATTGAGTAACCCATAGTACAGTGTTCACATGTGCACATTTTAATATACTCACTAAACATTATTTATTATCTGTGATTTCTGTGTAGATCAATGATAAATTATTGAGAAAAAAGTATTGCAATTACCTACCAGTTGGCTGTTTGGGTGGCGTTTCTGACTCTTTTGATTGATTTTTCCCTTGATGAAAATATCCAGCATGAGGTTCTTTGAGATTTACTTAGCAAGACATAAAACAATAGTATATATCAGTATTCCCGCTTTTTTGTGATTGTTTTAGTCCAGATCTCCAGTGTCACTATTTATCAAGAATTTTTTACATTGTCAGATTTGTTTTTCTTCTTGGAATTACACCTACAACCACAACTGGAATGAGAATTTCTGCTGCTGAGCAAGATGGTTGTTAAGTGAATCATACTGAATTTTGCAACAGTTTTTGCCCTGGTTAAGCAAATCACTGTGATTGTTAAGTGAATCACACAGCCGTTAAATGAATCTGGCTTACTTTTCTGTATTTTGAATTCAACAAATGCTCCTGGTTATTTGAATATGACAGGCAGCTGGGAAGGTTGCAAAGAGCAATCCCATAACCCCAGGATGCTGGGGCTGTCGTAAATATATGCTGGTTTCCAAGAGCCCAAATTTTGATCATGTGACTGTGGATATGCTGCAGCAAGGGTGAGGACTGGTTGTAAGTAACTTTCAGTCTCATAACGTTGAAAGGTCACTAAACAAATGGTTGTAAGTTGAGGACTACCTGTACTTAAAGGATCAACAGTGATGAACACAAACAGCATTAGATTCAGTAAACTTTGCTAATAGCATACTGTGAATAATAAACAAATAAAATAAATAAATAACAGATGAATGCCAGGGAATTTCTAGAAACCTGGTATTCTGACAAATTAGCCATCAATAGACTATGGAAAAGAGACAATCAACCAGCCCAAAAGAGAAAAAGAGTCCGGCACCTCTCCACTAGTAATCAGCATTCAGATCAGCATAAGATTAACTCCAAGGTTAACTTCAGACCAACAATCAAGTAAGCAATACCCCAATAAAAAAACTGCCAAAGAGCCATCAGTAAACAGCCCAACCAAAGAATCTCTAAGACCGCCCCCACCCAAATACGAGGGCAAGACACCAGAATATAAACTGACAGCAAACCCCACTCCTTACTAGCACTGATGATGTTACCTAGTTAGGGTAATGAAACGTCTGCAAGAAAACAAGCAAGCTCAGAGCACACCAAGGAGCCCTAATAAATAAATTACCTGGATTAGCTTCTGGTTCAGCCTGAGAGGGCTTTGTGTGATAATCCAAGATAACGTCTGAAGGTAACACAAACAGCCCGTCAAGAATGCTATCAATCACTGCTTGTAGACTAGAATCCACATTGGGACGAAGCTGAGTGAAGAACTCTACTGCCCCAATTCCAACCAATTGTTCCACAACAGAAGGACACTAAAATTACAAATGCAATATTGAATTTAAAATTATCAGAAAAGTGACTAATCTCTTCTGAGTTAAACAAGTACTAGGTCTATAATTAAAGAAACTTTTTGAGAAAAAAAGTCAAACAACAACAATAATAAAAACCTGGTTGCAAATATAGAATGCAGGACTTGGTATCATGTTTAGGCCAAACATGTTTCATGTAGTACTTGTCCCCTTGTTATTATATTTAAATATTATATTTAAATATTTTTCTCTATATTTACACAAATACTGACAAACAAGCACATAGATTTACACTACATATAATAATATGTGTTCTATATAGTACATGCCACAGTATAAGTATCATAGTAGCACTTTTTTTCTCCGTATAGTACAGAATTTTGAATCTTAGTTGCAGTTGAGTTACTTCAAAGACTTACAAATGAACAAATCTAGAATATTAGTTCCCAATGTTTTGTTGATTATTCTGAACATGCTGTTTGTCCTCATTTAACAACAACTTGTTCAGCACCATTTTAAGTTACAAGGAGTCTGAATGAGTGTTACTTATGAGCGGTTCTTGAAGTTTTGGCTGTCCAAACTGTGTGCTAGGCCATTGGATCACAGTTACCATAGTTACAATGTCCTAAAGTCACATGACTGCCTTTTCGATTTTCCCTGCCGGCTACCCATAAGTAAAGTCAAAAGGGAAGGTCACAAGTTGCTCCAAGTAAGTTACTCACATAATTTCTCACACAGAAGCAGCTACCCCTCAGCCCTGTTGCGTTCATGCCATGTCTCACAGGTAACCCATGAAAGCTTCCCCTCTCCTCAGCAACCATCCACCTCACTCTCAGAAGCACCCACTTTCCTAATAGACAGCCTGCTTGTAAGCAGCCTGAGACTTGATTAACAACTTATGATTCTTACTTAATGATGGCAACAGGGAGTGCCAGGACCACAGGTAGTCCTTGACTTACAACAGTTCATTTAGTGACTGTTCAAAATTACAACGGCACTGAAAAAAAAGTGACTTGGGATCATTTTTCACATTTAGGGCCATGGTAGGAACCTCATGGTCACGTGATCAAAGTCCAGATGCTTGGCAACTGACTCATATTTATGACAGTTGCCGGGACCTGGGTCATGTGATCACCTTTTGTAACCTTAAAACAAACAAAGTCAAATGGAGAAGCCAAATTCACTTAACAACTACAATTCATTCAACAACTGTGTCGTAAAATGGCGCCAAACTCATTTAACAAACGTCTTGCTTAGCCACAGAAATTGGGGCTCAATTGTGGTCATAAGTCAAGGACTACCTGTATTGTCACTGACCAATGCAGTACTGTGATGTTGTACTTTACAACCATATTGCTTGGTGATGTAAATTCCAGACCCAATTACCATTGTTAATCGAGGACTACCTCTATTGTCAAAATTTAAAAATGTACCGAAGTATATATTTTAAGCTTTTTGTTCCAAAAGAATGCTTACATTGAGTAATGCTGTGATTTTTTAATGTAAAGACATTAATGGTTAACTATTTCTATTACTCTTTCAGAAAAAAATGAATACAGATGGCAATACCTTTAACAAGTTGGTCACTAAGTTCAAAACTTCTTCTTTCATTGGTACTACAGGAAAGTTGAACCATTCTAAAAGACTGACAAATAGTAGCTTTTCTTGAACCAAATCGTCATATGTAATCAAATTATGATTTAATTTAGATAAAATATTCTTAAGCGCTCTTTCTCTAATTTCAGACAGCTCGTGACCTGTTATTTTTTTTAAAAAAAGGGAGATTGCAAATGAAAGTTATTTTTTTACATACACACATACACACACATTTTATAAATTCCAACCAATCTGCTGCAGAATAAAAGACCTCTTCATTGAACATTACAGACCATAATTTATCACAGTGCAGGTGACAGGCAGAACTTTTTGACTTCCTAGTCTAGCGCTGGAAGACAGTGATTAGTCCAAAACTACCCAATGAGCTTCTGCAACTATGAATGGATTAGAGTCTATGTCTCTCCATTCTTAATCCAGCAATGTAACTATCGAGCCATATCTACTATATGACATGTGATACCACACTCATGCATGCCTGCATATTCACTAACAGGTATTGCTTTGCATAAAATTAGCCATTGAATTGATTTTGTTGAATCATCACACTGAAAATTTAGGATACTTTCTTAGGGAGGACAAGGCATCTGACTGTTCATCACCTTTCAACCATGATCTCATATGATCTATTCTTCTAAGCAGTTTTTCCTTCTTTTAATATCAGGAATAATATTCTTTATTGTTAAAAGCTTTGATTACTGTTTTTGCCACTGCAATTTTTCCATTTCCCAATAGTTTCAATATTCCTTTAGTTTCTCACTCCATCTCCGTTCATTACATTCTAGCCAATTTTGTGCACTTCTGCTGCAACAATGTTGACACATCATGAATAATGAATAATGGATGGAAACTGAACAAGGAGAGATTTAACCTGGAAATAAGGAGAAACTTTCTGACAGTGAGAACAATCAACCAATGGAACAGCTTGCCCTCGGAAGTTGTGGGAGTGCCATCAGTTGAGACTTTCAAGAAGAGATTGGACTGCCATTTGTCAGAAATGGACTTAGGGTCTCCCGCTTGGGCGGGGTGGGGTGTTGGACTAGATGACCTACAAGGTCCCTTCCAACTCTGATTATCTGTTATCTGCACTCTTATTAATTTTCCCTATCTTTGGCATTCCCTTTGTATAGAAGATTGTGAAGGACACTTATCTATGTTGCGTGGTCGTTAAGAGTTGGAATGGCACACCGTCACTGATCAATCAATTACGTATAAAAATATATGCGATTTTGAGAAGGGATCGTATTGAGAACTCAAACTCAAAAGTAGAGAAATAGGAGCGGAATAGGCTACTTTTCTGCGTGCAATCAACTGATTCACACTGGAGTTTGCACATCCTGAGGATACTGGATTGAGAGTTTGTGCGCAGCTAAACTGTGATTCGGGGCTACTTTTTTTTCACCCACAAAGCAAACCCATTATCAACTTTTAGGGATCCAAAAAAAAAAAAAACCAACAGTCTCTGAGTAGGCTCACTGGCTATCCGTGCGGACAAACCGACCACTTACGAAGTTTCCGGATAAGCGGTGTCAACTCGATTGGGGGAGACGCCGCATTAACATCGCACACAGCCATCACGACCGCCTTCCCAGAGCGGCCCGGGTTCAACCGCCGCGCCGCAGAGAACGCGAATGCGCTCGGAAAAAGCGGGAGGCTGTTTTTCAAGAGGCCGCTGGGAAACGTAGTTCCCTCTCTGGCTCCCCGCCCATCCGTTTTCTGTATATTCTCAGGCGAGAGGCTCTTTACTGGAGATAGATTCGCGTGATTGGTAATTCTCGCGAGCTTTGACTCGAGTCTTCCTAGTTGCCTAGATAACAAGGTTTTTTCTCCCATCGCGTTTTGGAAGCGCCGCTTTTCCCGCGTCGGCCTCTTTAAGCTGCAAGGAATGCAATGAATCCACCAGGCTTTCAGCCTAGGTCTTCTCAATGGCGAAATCTCTGCCAGAATTGTTTCGGTCAGCAGGATTTCATCTAGGCCAGGGTTCTCCAACCTTGCAACTTTGAGCCTGCGGACAATCCTGGGAGCTGAAGTCTACCAGGCTTAAAGTTGCCAAGGTTGAAGACCTCTGCTCTAGGCAAGGGTATGCAATACCTTCTGATCCGTCATTAAACATAAGACTTTGGATCACAACTACCAGAATATGGAATAACATTTCATGAAGTTGTTTCTATTTTCCAGACTGACTGGGAATTCTGGGAGTTGTAGTTGCGGCAATCTAGTGTAACGCAATATGGGTGAAACATTTCCAACACAACCCAATCTCTACTTTCAATTTCTGGAGGTAACATTTATTCTGGCAGTGAAGTGCTTCCAGTAGTGTTTTTTGTGCGTGTCTCTGGCTTTTCAAGCGGCACTGAAATGTGTGTTGGAATCAAATGTATGGCTGGAAATACTTCGAAGTGGACATTTGTATATGTGTGTATGTATTTTACTCCAATTCGTGGTTGTGATGACTCAACACATTGAACTACAAGCTAATCGACCTTATTTCTAGTCTAGTATATTCTATAAATCTCATTCATGACGTAAGTTTATCTGCAATTATTTACTTTTCACCTGTCAAAGTGATAATGTCGAAGGAGTTTATATAAACTATCTATCTATCATCTATCTATCTATCTATCTATCTATCTATCTATCTATCTATCTATCTATCTATCTATCATCACAAAATCTCAAGGACCGTAAGGCCTAAAACTTGAAATTTGGCACGTTAGCATCTTAGCTTCTAGGTGCTCACTAAGAAAGGATTGTTCAAAATGACCATCAGAGCATTAGTATTTTGTATATTATTATTAACACGCTCTGATGCTAAGGAGTTCTACTCCCCCTCCCCACCTGAAAAGAAATCTGTTCCAAATGCAAAACACAAGCAGAGAAGAGGAGTTTCAGTTTTAGTTTCACAGCACCAAGCAGCTTTAGTACAGAACAGTTGAGCTAAGCCACGCCTAGGCTCCTTGCTGTCTCCTTGCTCACAAATACTGTTTCAGTTTCCAAACAGCCCTCAACTATCTCACACACTGACAGGATGCTAGCCAGATGAATACTGATGGATGCTGGTAGGCAGAGGCAGAATTTTTTCCCCCTTATTTTCCTCCCCCAAAACTAAGCCCGAGCAAATAGTTTCGTAGTGAAGCATGGATATCAAGCTAGTTGTAAATAAAAATGTAACAAATCTGATGAAACATTAATATACTTCTTAGGATCCGTTCCACAGAAGTATTAGAATTAAAGGCCCACTTGAAGGAAGAAGTCAGCTGAACAATCTTGGATGGTGATTTTTTTCTCTCTGCCTTTGTCTCTAAATGTATGCACCTTAGCCAGAAAACTTAATTAACTGACTACATGAGTCATCCAAGTGCAAACTTGAAGATTAGACAGCAGTCTTGTAAAGATAGACTAAGAGAGTTGAAATTAGCACTGTTAAAAATATAACAGAAAGGGGAATACGATATTTCTTCAGAATCAGAAGCATCCCACGATAAATAATGCTGGCACATGAAATAATGGTTTTAAGTTACAAGGAAGATTTGGGTTGAATATCAGGAACAGCTTTCCAACAGAAAAATAATAATAGAAGAATCAGTTACAAACATATCAGGAGGAAATGAAATTAGAGATCCCTGCAGGCTGCCCTCAACATACGACTAAAATTGAGCCCAAAATTTCTGTTGCTAAGCAAAACATTTGTGAAGTGAGTTTTGTCCCTTTAACAACCTTGCCACAGTTGTTATGTTACAGTTGTTAAGTTAGTAAAACAGTTGCTAAGTGAATCTGTCCCCATTCACTTTGTTTATCAGAAGGTTGTGAAAGGTAATCACATGATCCCAGGACATTGCAGCTATTATAAATATGAGTCAGTTGCCAGGCGTCTGAATTTTGATCAAATGAGCATGAGCATGTTGCAACGGTCATATATATGAAAAATGGTTTTAAGTCACTTTTTTCAGTACTAATAACTTCAAATGGTCATTAAATGAACTTTTGTAAATTGAAGAATATCTGTATTAGTAGAATCCATGGATAAAAAGTTTCTGTTTCCTTTAGATAATGTAAAGTTTAGAAAATGGGAAATATGTTATTCATTTGCGCCTCATATGTTCATGACTTGAAATTTGGATCCTCCCAGAAGCAGCTGTTTTAAGTTCACAGGAAGTTGATTATGAAATACAACAACAAAATGACCTGGAATCTCATATGCAATTATATTTCCCACATTTTAATAATTTCATAAATTTCTGAAGCAAGAAAAGGCCTATTTTATTGGGTGACTTCTGACTCTCATAGGCACAACCAGGTTCCCCGCCCCCTAAATATAATAGTAAGAATTGTCACACTATTGATGAATAGCTTTTAAATTTTGTGTTATTTGTATTAGAGAATGAATACAAGAGAGATATTTTAATGAGAGTATTTGGTCAGTACAAGTTTAACTCTCATAATTTCCAACTTCCATGGCTGGGATTATGAGAATTATAATCTAGCACAATGGTTGCCAACCAGTGGGCCGGGAACCACTGGTGGTCTGTGAGAAAATTTTGGTGGTCCGCAGAGAAATGTCCCCCCCAAAGCGCTCCCCCCAAAGCAATTAATCCAGGCTGCATGGGAACACAAGGCTGCACCACCCACATGGCCCGCCCATCCTCTGGCCCCCACCCTTCAGCCAAGCGCAAACCTTACCTTGAATAGAGCCACGCGAGCTGGAACTGGAAGGTAAGACCTACGGCGGGGGAGGGAAATCCGCCCCGGGGTGGCTTGCTGACATTGGTGGGATAGTTGGTCCCATATTCCAGAGCTGCAGTAATCACAGGACTGGCCTTTTGGTCATCCCGGAGCAACTCCTCCAGTCCATGGCAGGCTGGTGCACCCGGGTGGAGGAGCAGCTGCTCCAGGATGACCAAAGGGCCAGTTCTATGACTACTGCAGCTCTGCAATATGGGATCAACTTTCCCACCAATGTCAGCAAGCCACTGTCAGTCAAAATTCATATTAATGGTCCGCAGGATTTAAAATTGAGTGGTGGTCCCTGAGGTCCAAAAGGTTGGCGACCCCTGATCTAGCATATCTAGCGGATATCAAGCTTGGTGGTGCTTCCTTAAATGTTTTCTTTTCTAGAAATTGCCAGGATTCCAAGCATTATCTAGTTCTTAATATTCAAGATGTTGGATTATAAAATGTTTATTTGAACAGCAAACTGTCATTTACCAATTGAACTCAAATTAATTTTGAAATTGGGTTTCAAAAGCAATTTGTTATATAGTGGGTGATATAATCAGAGGAAAACAGTTTCTAGTTAAATAATACAAATACACCATTGGAATAACTCTTTGGATTGTTTAAAGTAAATAACATTTTAGAAACCATAGTAAATTTTTGAATAAAAATAAAATACTGTTATGGTAATAACATCATTTCATATCTCTAAATCACTGAATTTTGTCTAATATTTTGTCTAATCATTTATGTATCCAGAAAATAGTTAATTGCAAAGCAATCATCACAGAAATTGAGCAGTATTTTCTTCCTATCACCTTGTAAGTGGATCATAAGCTTCCTAACAGACAGAAAGCAATAGGTGAAGCTAGGCAGAATCACATCTGATACCTTTACAATTAGCACGCCCCCCACAAGGCTGTGTGCTTTCTCCACATCTCCCTATATACCAATGACTGCATCTCAAATGATCCATCTGTTAAAATACTGAAGTTTGCAGATGACACAATAGTGATGTTTCAACTCCTTCCCTCAAAACGACGCTATAGAGCACTGCACACCAGAACAACTAGACACAAGAACAGTTTTTCCCCAAACACCATCACTCTGCTAAGCAAATAATTCCCTCAATACTGTCCAACTATTTACAAAGTCTGCACTACTATTACTATTAATCTTCTCATCACTTATCACCTATCCCCTCCCACTTGTGACTGTATGACTGTAACTTTGTCGCTTGTATCCTTACAATTTATATTGACTGTTTCTTAGTATGATTTGATTGCTTATTGTACCCTATGACTATTATTAAGTGTTGTACCTTATGATTCTTGACGCTTGATGAATGTATCTTTTGTGTATACCGAGAGCATTTGCACCAAGACAAATTCCTTGTGTGTCCGCCAATAAAAGAATTCTAATTCTAATATCATGAATCTGAGTAGGAGTAGTGTTGACCTAAAGAGGAAATACTGAACTTACATTGATACATTTAATTATAACTTTAGAGTATCTTACTCGTGGACTGGATAAGATAAAAGCAATGTGATGCAAATAAAGGGGATGATTGAGTTTGTTGGGATATGATTATTCAGTGAGACAGGGCCTGAATCAAAAACAGCCAGACTTCTGTACAACCTATCAAAGGGCATTTGTCCCACTAGATAGAAATTTCGTAAATTGCCCCAAAAATGTAATTTTGTAGTTATGTATGAATTAAGATTATTGTTTTGCTAGAAACATTATTGTCAGATGAGACTGAATGTTCCGTGTTTTAAGAGCAATGCTGTTTGTTATCAGCTGCCAGTCAGATGATGATTCAGCAGATCCAGGACATAAGACCAGATCTAGCAGAGAGCCAT